AAACAATTCTAGATCATTCCAAATATGATCAAGTGAAATCAATGGTTGAGAATGATTGGAAATTACACATGCTGAAAATTCAAATTCTTTGGCCAATTTCGTTTGAAGTAACTGGTTACCCTATATGCAGTAACCGGTTACCACATTCAAAAACGCCCAAATTTGGCGCCAAATGGAGGGAATCCTGTATGATCACCCGTTGCAATCTGTTATAAGCTCTATTAAGCCTCTGAAACTTGCCCTTGGATATTATGATTGTGAGAATGATTGAGATATCATGTACACCATCTCCTGTGCTAAAAATAACCTATTGAATAAAATAAAATCAACCGCTTGATCGCTGGGCAAAATAAATGTCAGAGCCTCTGATGCTTACTGTTTAAACTCTTGTGATGAAAAGGAACCCTGAGCCATAGAAATACCTTGATCCCATGTCTCGAGAACCAATGTTATGATATGCAGAAATGCAAAAAATGCAGAGAAACGAAAGCCAGTAAACCAAGAAACAAAGAGGCAAATTTTGGGGTGCTACAGCGCCGGGGAGGTCTCCGCTGCTAGTCGGGCTTCTTTCTCTTTCTTCTTCTACTCCTTCAAGTCATCTTTGGTGAAACAGCTATCTAGATCAACTAATTCGATGTGGGGCAATGGTTTGGCTCCTCCAAGGTGTTGGGTCGGGCTGGCTTGCTGGCAGTTCTGGACGGCGTATTGGTAGTGTTATGCCCCTTCAAGCTTCAAAGCATCTCCTCGCAGCTTCAATGTCCCTGTGGAGGGTGGCAACAGGGCCTTTGGTCGTGTAGTACTTCATCGTTAGATGGACAGTGGACGGCACGACGATCAGTTTGACCAGAGTTAGTCTCCCTAGGATGCACTGGTATAGAGAAGGACAGTCTATGACTAGGAACTGGACTTTGATTGACTTGGCAACTTCAGTTGCTTCGACTGTGATAATCAGTTTGATGTATCCCCCATGGCCTTATGATTGCATCGTTAAAGCCCTGCAGATCAGAGCCCACATAGGGTGTCAAGTGTGTTTCGTCGAGCTACAAAGTTGAGAACAGTTGCGAATACATGATGTCAATCGAGCTTCCCTGGTCGACCAGAATGCGGTGAACGTCAAAGTTTTCCATTTGTGCTCTCACGAGCATAGGGATGATGAAGTTAGGGGATCCTCCGGGGAGCTCCTCGCGGTAGAAGGTGGTGGGGTTCGAGCTTCCCTGACACTTATCAAGGGTGGAGTTTTTGCTCGAGCTTGCATCATTGAGTTGCTCGAATTTCCTCTTCACTGAACCCACAATAAGTTTGTTGAACCCCCACCAGATATGACCATGGTGGAGGGTAAAGTCTTTTATTCGCTATGAGTTACGAAGTATATGGGGTTTTCGGCCTCGTCGGGGACGTAGAAGTCCTCGGGCTGAGAGATCGACATGGCGATTGATAGGTTGGCGGCGGCGGCGGAGGGTGTTTTCTCCTCCTCGACCCTCTATACTTATCGGGCATCTTGTCGAGGAGCCTCTCTCCTCTTGGTATATTATTTCAGGTGTCCATCCCTGATGAGAATTCCAACCGCATCCTTTAGGTGGATGCACTCTTCATTCTTGTGCTCGTGGCTCTTGTGGAATCGGCAGTATTTGGTCTTGCCCGTGGTGGGCTTGGCCGTTGTCTGTCTGGGAAAACGGACTCCGGCCTAGCAAAATTCTGAGTTCGCGCACTCGGAAAGAATACGATCGAGGGAGGGGGTCAGCGGCGTGTACTCGGCAAAGCGGCTAGCAGGTCCTTTGAACTCTCGTGAGTCACAAGGTGTATCCTCCTTCCTTTTTTCTCCTCCACAGCAAGGCGCCGGGTCTTCATGCCTCGAAATCCTGGTGTTTTCTTGGTTCCTTGAGTCTCGAGCATTGTTGGCAGCTTATTTCTCCTCGTACTGGATGTAGGCATGGGCCTTGAGCAGGAGGGCATCCAGTGACGCAGGCGTTTCGATGCCAACAGCTTTGGCGAAGTCACTACGGGGGCACAGTCCTTGCTCGAGCAGATATTTCTTCATGTCGTAGGTCGTGGAGACTTGGACAGCTTCGCAGGTGAACCTCTCGATGTAGGCTCGGAGGGACTCATCTTTCCTCTGCATGATTGCCTCGAGTGTCTCCTTGGACTTTAGATGGCGATGGGAGGCAGTGAAGTGTCTCGAGAATTGCCTTCCTAGGTCCTTTTAGGAAGTGATGAATTCTTCAGCAAGACTTTTGTACCATGTCATGGTATTTTTCCTCAAGGTTGTGGGAAATATCCTGCACTTGATGGCGCCTCTAGCGTCGCGGTAATCAAGTAGTGCATCGATGTTCTTGATGTGCTCGTCGAGATCTGTTGTCCCATCATACGTCCCCAGGTTCTGGGGTTTCTCCAGCCCAACAAGAAGCGAAGCGTCCATGATCGCTCGAGATAGTGGATCGCGAGGGTCATCTTTATCGCTCTTAAGTGGTGAGCGCGGCGGAGAGTAATTGTACTTCTCTCGCAAGGGGCTGTCATCGCGGTGTGGCGTCGAGTTCTTTGGTCGGCTTTTTAATTTGCACTAGGGTGAATGACGGTTGTCTGGTTTTCCCCTAGCTTTGTTCTTCTTGGCAACTGGGGAGAGGCGGTCCTCACGGGGAGGAGTGTGGTTGCACTTCAGGGGCTGCGGGCGGTGGCCTAGTTGTTGCAGCGACGGGCTGTGAGACTCATATCTTTGGTGTCTCCGCGAGGAAGAGTGTGGACGGCACTATGATCCTCTTGTTCTGGTGATAGATCAGCGTGTTGATCTGGTTGAGGGTCGCGACCAGGGCTGACATGGTCGAGTCAGTGTTGGTCGGCACTGGGATTGGTTGGAATTTCTCCGACAGCTTCTCTAGAGCCTTTTGACTTTTTGAGTCTCAACATACTGGACATCATCATCGGCCGCCTCATCGGAGAAGGGAGACGCGGTGTGTCTGTTTCTCTTAATTAGAGTGACGTCTTCTAGAATCGACATATTGTTGTCATTGTCGGCGTCGTGGACGGGGGTGAGGATGGTTTCGTGACCGTTGTTGTCGTGTTGATCGGCCATTATTGGCTTTTGAAGTTTTTCTTCTTTGATCTCTTGGTTTCAGGAAAAGGAAAGATGGGGAAGCAAGTCTCCCACAAGCAGCGCCACTGATCTAACCTGCGAATCGGAACGTGGCTGGTAACACTTCTGCAGCAGCAACGGTCAACAAGAATGGAGGAGGGGGTGTACCTACAAACACTCTGATGCTTAAGTCAATCGGGTGAAGAGGTAGCAAGAGTAGAGAATAGAGTAGAACAGAATACCTGACCCTCCTGCAAAGGAAGGTATTTATAGAAAGCCCCTAGCGCAGGGTCAACGATCTCCGTTATGGGCTGAGTGACCAAGCCCATAACGGATGACTGCCAGAATTCCTACGTAGAGGTAGGGGTGAGCAGCTCGTGCTCATCATCCTGGTTCAACTGCTTCGCATTCTCCGGATAGTGGGATAGTGGGTGGACTTTCCCGTTACGTAGGACAGACTGGTCCACAGATGTGCGGACCAAGTTGATGATGTGTCCTCGGGTGAGGAGCACATGGAAAAATGTCTTCTATTGGCCCCAAAGAATTGGGTCAGCATTGTGGGTCGTCGTCGACGCAGGATTGGATTGAGTTATGCTCAAAATTGGGTCAGCTACAGGCCAATCCAGAACAATTTTCAATATTCTAATTTGATGGTCAAATTAGAATATTAATTTATGGTATCCATACAATAATTTAATTTTTTATGATATATATGTTTTTAACCACAAACTTAATATCTATTAGATCACTTTACTTTTAACTAATTAAATTATGACTAACACATATAATATTACATTTATAACTCAAAACTCATCCTAGAATCATTAAAAAGCGTCTCTTTAATTTTTCTTCTCTCCACAACTTCCAACGTACCAATATAGTTAATTTAATAGAAGTACAATGTGTTTTAACTAACTTATGAATTTTTTAACAGCAATGTTATTCATATACCAATTTCCTACACCAATACTTACACCATATGCACTGTTCACCGTATTTATACGGTGAACAATGTATTTTCTTAATAAAATAATATATTTATGAACAATACCATGAACAGTGAGTGAACAGTGACTCGTGAACAATGTTCGTGAATAGTTCTTTAAATTATGAAACAAATTTGGTTAATGAAGTATAAAAAATTGGTTAATGATGTGATGAAATTGGTTAATAAACGTCCAAATATTAAAAATAATTTTTAGTAGTAAAACAAAATTGGTTAATGAAAAGTAAAAAGTTTGTTATTGAAGTTATGAAGTTGGTTAATAACTTTCAAATATTAAAAAAAATTTTTAACCATAAATAAAGTTGGTTAATAACATGTAAAATGTTGATTAATGAAATTATGAAATTGGTTAATCACACAATTTCATATCAATATTATGTAATTTAAAAATATAAAAAAATATATATATTTTTAAAAAATATATATTTAATATTATAATATTTTACTGTTCACCGTACTGTGAACAATAAAATATGAAATATTATAATATTTCATATCAGTATAGATGTAAAAAGTAGTGTAAGAATATCATTTTTCATTTTTTTAATATGTATATAAAAACGTTAAACATCACTATTTTAAAAGGGATGTAACAACTTTTAAGGATAGTAGTGCTCGCTCACTCATCTTCCAACACTTCAAACTCCATAACAGTGCCTAAGTAATGAAGTGTCCAATTACATATACACCGTAAATTATCAATTTTAACTAGAATATATCCATAATTTTATTTAAGAAAAATTGTAAAAGTTTAATAGAATATGCTATCCTTCTTGAGACGTTTGGGATTATTCTTTGCTTCATTATAGTAGCTAGAAAGAATAAAAAGAATTAGTTTAAGGAATATATCTCTTGTAATGCTCATATACAAATGTGTATATAAGACATGATGTTGTTGATTAACTAATTAGCAAATTTCCGTACAAAATGTTGGAGTTACCATTCAACATGACACTTAATTTCCCCACATTGTTTTTCAAGTCCTTGCCTTTTGCTAAGAGCTTGGAGCCTGAATTATTGAATGCCACAATTGCTCTTGTTGCGGCTGGTCTTACGGCTGCTTATATTTACTATCGCAAGAAACCCAAAGGTCCTATATTCATTACTACATTTTGTTAACAATTATGTCATCTTTCTTAAACTCGTCATTTCCAATATTTTAAAATTGTTGTCCAATATAGTGGTGAAATGTCATTATATAGTGACCATCTAAAGCACAAAAATTTCAGGTTCTCTGGACCCAAACAATTTCAAAGAATTCAAACTTGTAAAGAAGACCCAAATCAGCCCCAATGCTGCAAGATTCAAATTTGCCCTTCCTACTCCTAAATCGATATTGGGTCTTCCTGTTGGAAAAAACATACTTGTCAGGTTATAAAAAATTATCTATACTTGTTTTTAATGGCTTAGTGGCAAAAATTAATTGTCATTTTTTTGTATAAATGTTGAGCAGAGGAAGAGATAGTGAAGGAGAGGAAGTTAGGAGGTCATACACTCCAATCACATTGGATTCAGATATTGGCTATTTTGAATTAGTCGTGAAGGTACAGTTTTTGATGGATAAATTTTGGCAAATTATAAACTTTATTTATGAAAATAATAATGTAAACATCAACTATGTGGTATCAGATGTACCCAAATGGAAAAATGTCCCACCATTTTAGGCAAATGAAGGAAGGCGACAGCTTGGCCGTGAAGGGCCCAAAGGTACTTTACTTACCTTGTTAGGCAAAATAAAAAATATTCAACTTGTAAACAGTGCATAGTCTTCCTTTTCGTATAATGGCTATATACACTGAGTTTGTAGGGACGTTTCAGTTACAAAGTTGGCCAGGTTAGGGCATTTGGAATGATTGCCGGAGGTTCAGGCATTACCCCAATGTTTCAGGTACATATATATGAAAAAAAAGTACATATAGTACCATTAATTCATTCACCTATACTCGAAATTGTTCATGATAATGAAAGTTTACTAATAATTATACAGTGTAGTATAGTAATTGAAGTCATTTTATGATTGTTTGAAAGTAGATTGAGAATGACATTTCATCTTTTGTTGTAGCTCATAAGGGCCATACTAGAAAACAAAAAGGACAAAACAAAAGTGTACCTCATTTACGCCAATGTGACGGTGGATGATATCCTACTAAAGGTAACTTGCCTACTTAAGAAATCATGTCCGTAGAGTAGTGGTTCCTTTCTTAATACTGCTATTAGCATGGGAATGTAGTGTAAGATAATTGAATTCAAAAAGTTAACTGTTTGGCTAGCTTGAATTCTGAGTAAAATATGTTTTGTGATGCAGGAAGAACTTGATCACTTTGCTAACACGTTTCCTCACAGATTCCATGTCTATCATGTTCTTAATAAGGTTAGCTGTTCCATCCATTATTTAAACTTGTTGTCTCATTTGTATGACATTTAAATACACTAAATCGATGTGATTGGCATGTCAATGATCAATGTAAAGTTGCATTAAAACAATCACAATGATCATCAAAACAATTAAAACAAAAATTAAGTACTAGAGTTTTAAAGTTTTGTGACCACAATTCATTGTCAAAATAAATTGTTTGATATATATTCAAAACACACACAAACACATTTGACAGCCTCCTAATGAATGGAATGGTGGCGTTGGGTACATATTAAAGGAGATGATTGAATCCCATTGTCCAGCACCTGCTTCGGATATCCAGGTTTAATTCATGATTAACACTCAATAATTTTCTCTCTTTTTCATATCTGGATATATTGTAAGAAAATTCATCACCACCTAGTAAGAATAATTTAAAAACAATAAATTGTCCAATTTTGCAGATACTTAGGTGTGGTCCACCACCCATGAATAAAGCCATAGCAACTCATCTTGCTGCACTTGGATACACATCAAACATGCAGTTTGAGTTCTAATACACTTCAATTTAATTTTTCTCACATTCTTGCAACACTTTTTATTGCCTTTTACTATCATATTTGTATGTGTCAAATTTCAAGAATAAAAATCCAATAAGGACAACTATTGATCTGAGTGAAGGTAGTGCAACTTTGAGCCAAGGTTCCTGCTTCTATTTGCCAAATTCGTATGAATAAAATGTTCTTTTGATGTGAGCATTATAATCATTCTTTATGGTGATTTTGCTAAATGTTCTTTACAATAGAAATCTAATATTATCGAAGCATGTAAATGAGTTTGTATGTACCTTTTTTTTTCTCCTCATACTCACTAAATATGCCCCTTATATATAGTGATTAAAAGGAGAAAAATAAACACAAACTAGCCAAGTCAGGCCAGTTCCTGGCACTCAAAAATTGTCCAATATACCTTGAATTGGGCAAGCTTGCCACTCTAACCATGAGCAGGGATTGCTCTAACCCATGAGGGATAAATCCCCTGATCTTTCACTCTGCAAAAATGGCATACACGACACTTCATCAGAATAGAACTTATGCATATGAAATCAATCAATGAACAAAAATCATCTTCTATCATTGAAAAATATCAAACTGGAAACCAATAAGATGAAGGAAGAGGATAGCAATCAATAACTCTCGAGTAACTGCTAAGCAGAGTGCTCAATGGCAAGGCCAGTGATACTGATATCAAAAGTGAAGCACCGATTTTCAAATAAAATCAAATGAGATAGTCTTTCTGTATATTACAAGTAGAAAGACTTTTAGCATATTATCTAAAATAATTTATCTAATCCTGAAACATGAAGCTATAACAAGAATGGGATGAAAGTAAAAATAAAATTTCTTGATGAGGAAGAATCTGATGTTTGTCTCTTTTCCATTTTAAAAAATAATCCTCTTAGAAAATATAGTATATGAAACACTCGTAGAATATTTAGTAACATGGGATAAGAGGCAACACGTTAGTAATTAATTTGTTATAGGAGGAGAGAATAAAGTGTGGTGAAGCCTCAATGTTATAAACATTACATCTCAAAGGCTTAGATACAATTGTGCATGAGTTGTTTTCCTGATTATATGTGAAAGGTATATCCTAGAATTTTCATGACATTTCCTAATATAAAAGTAGTATTGGTTTATTCTATGCACTACTAAAGTATTCTAGAAAACTATATACATTTGCATCATTATTTAACAGGTAATAGTTATTCAATAAATTACTAATGTATTCTAGAAATGTGCATCATATGCCAACAAAACCACATGGGAAGATAAAACAGAACACAGATCAACAGAACTGAACAAGGAATACTAACACTGGAAAAAAAAAAAAGTCTTACTGCAAATTGATTTTAGCTCAAGGAGGAACATATTTGACCAGAACACCAATAATCCAAAAAGAAAAGAACTTTAAAATAAAAAATAAATAAATAAACCGAATTACATATCAAGTATAGAAAGTTCACTTACAAATACATATCACCTCGATCAATTTCCGGGAACAAGTTAATATAAAAGCGAAATCCATCAGGGCTGACATCTCTGCATAGTATACCTGGGAAAAATTGGACAAAATCAGAATAAAAAGATGTTTTAAAAGTAGTGAAGATAGCAGTACAGCAGTATACCCTTGCTCTCAGCAGACAAGAGATGTTCCTTTGCCATTGCTGGGGCAACTCCCAGCGTCATTGCAGCCTCACTAGGACTTATCCCAGCTCGAAGAGCATCAGGCTTCATAACAAGCATCTTAATTTTAGTGAAAACCTATACACCAAACAGAAATTAGTTAATTTAATCATACTTAACCAGCTTGCATTTCAACATAACTAGGCATTAATGTCAAACCAAGAAAAACATAAATGTACAATTTCACAATTAGGACACAGCATAAAATCCATATTGTGCGGGCCACAAGACAGATGTTTTTCCCAAGTTAATACATTAATAAAACCTAACATATAAAAATGGCTACAGAAGATAAAATAAAATGAACATACCTCCTCATCACTGTGGGACTTATTTTGTATTACCATGACCCCGCTTTCAAACTTCCGCAGAACAATTGGGCTGAAACATTCAAATAACATAGTCAATGCATGGAAATATAACAAATCCTAAAGGGGGTTGCAGACTTGCATTGAAGGATTAAATGTTAGAATCCCATAGTATGAACTGAAGTCACCTCTTGTTGGTTCTATGCTACGACTACAATTTAAAAAAATAGAAGATAATGTCATACATACACATCAAACTTCTCCCACAGAGAGCATGCTTGCAACAAATCATCAGGTGAGATCAATTCTGTTTATTAGACGACCAAAACAAGGGAAGAATTAATTCAACAAATGGACGACCTCAAAATTAATCATGTCTAAGGGAACATGGAAAAGTATTGAAACCTGTTCCACGAGCACGATTGAAGAGACAATAAATATCAATTAGATTGATAATTCCTCCAGCTCTCTCAAGTGGAACTTTAACAAAATCTGCCAACTATTAGCAAGGACATATTAGAAAAATTTAAACAATCAGAAAACTAACAAATGATAATCAGTTAAGTGAGTGTTAATTAACTCCTTAACTTCAGAAATACAGAGCATTTGGTGTTTTGCTCACTACTTCCATACAAGTGATAAAAACATCAATTGCAACCAAAATTGGGAGAAGAGTTGACAAAATATCAAATCAACCAGTGATATATTTCTTAGGCGTGGCAAAATGGATGGATCGGATGGATATGGATTGTTAATGGATGGATCAAAACAATCCATTATAGTCAATTAACAATCCACTAAAATTTTCTTAAAATTATCCAATCCAATCCATCCATTAAAAAAAATATTCATCCATTAATATATTTTTAGTGGATGGATATCCATCCATCCAAAAAATTGTTTTTTATTTTCGGAAAAGAAAAAACTTTTTTTTTTATTTTTGAAAAATCAATTTTTAATAATTTTCAAAAAAGTCAAATTTTTTATTTTTTTAAATAATTGTTTTATTATTTTTTTTAAAATCAGTTTTTTTATACTTTTTTTCGGAAAATTTTGATTTTTTTTTTCGGGAAACCATCAATTCTTTATATTTTCAAAAAAAAAATAGATTTTTGATATTTTCGAAAAAATTTATTTTTTAATATACTCGTGAAAAAATCGAATTTTAGTATTTTCAAGAAAAAATCGTTTTTCTTTTTTTGTATTTTTCGAAATAAAAAAAATCGACTTTTTGTATTTTCCAAAAAATCAATTTTTTAATTTTAAAAAAAAAATTTTTTTTTTTTTGAAAAAATCCATATTTTAAAAAATAAATCTAACAGAGATAAAAATAATCCATTGGATTATTAAAATATGTGATGAATTGGATCAATCCATGCATATAAATAGATGGATTTAATCCAATCCATTAACTTATTTTCTATGTGGTGGATGAATTGGATGGATTTTTTAGTGGATGGATTGGATGAATTTTGTCTTAATGGATCCAATTGTCATCCCTAATATTTCTCTCTAGGAATGGGAAAGGGAAAGCGTGAGTAAGAGAGCTCTTCCTAGGCTTTTAATATGCTCAGCATGCATCTCGATTTCAATTGTGGCACACATAAAGAAGATCTTCTGTATTCTAATTGATATTTCTAATTCTAATCTTCTACCGATTCTGCTCATGTTAGCCCTTTTGGCCTGATTCATAGCATTTATATTTTCCTCTTCAACATCATCTGCCCTTATCCTAGCTCGGTGTAGGCCCTTAATTGTCATCACCAAAATGAAAGACAAATTCATCTTCAACATGTTCATCAACATATGGTTAACACTATGATCATATTTTATGACTGGTTCTTTATTCTATCGGTACTAGCAAAACTTATGTCCTCGTGAGCCTCGGAATTCAACACTTTTTAATCAATGAACAACAAAAGACAAGAGTCCCCCAACCACCCAATTAAAAAAACAGACCTTTTAATCAATGAACAACAAATGACATGAGAGTCCCCCATCCCCCCAATTAAATAACAGAAATAAAAGGCCCCATCACAAAAAGCCTCAACTGGGAAGTAGAACTCTTTCTAAAAGCATGTTTTACGTAACAAAGTTACAATTCACATGATATTTTGATTACTGAAAAAATAATGAATGATTACGGAGCAGAGATAAGAGAACCTGGCGAGATAATTGTTGATGATACAGAGCACCCGCGGACTCTTTTGTAACAGGGGATATTATACCAACACTCAATAACAATTCTTGCATTTCTTCCTTTGAACCCATCTCTTCATCGTTAGTTGTACTCATTTGAGAATTTGAGCCTGTCAAAAGTTTTTGCCTCATTTTTTCCGCTAGCATGACCATCTCTTTAGCCTTGCTCTGCAAATCCATCATTAAGCCAAAACTTAATGCGGCTTAAGCTTAAAACAAAACTAGGTAAAAGTTTACAAAGTAACTTCCAGACCTAAATATGATAGTCCCAAATAAGGTCAGAGAAACAAAGAGTTCACATCTGTTTGCACATCATAAAGGTAAAACCCAGCTCACAAGCTCTCTTATAAAATCACTATAACTTTTAAGATATATTTCAAAATTTATTAAATCAGATTTCATTTGCCGGATTAATCCCCATCCATCAAAAGTAAATTGAGCAATGTTCTCATTTCATTTAACTAAGCCTAAAATGAGAAGGAAAGACATTTTCCTCAAATTACTCCAAGTACACAAATTAAACGTGTAAACTTCAAGATAAACAAAAATAAAATATCAAAAATCCACATTATTAGTTTACATTGACAACATGGTTTGAGCTACCTTTCACAGCATGAGAAACGTGCCATCTTATATCTACAAAAAAATAGCAGCAAACACCTAATATTTCCTTCAAACTCATGGTCAAAGCAAGTCATATACAACAACAACAATCAAGTCTTATACCACTAATTGGGGTCGGCTACATGAATTAAATTACGTCATAATACAACAACAACCAAGTCTTATCTCACTCAGTGGAGTTGGGTACATGGATCAAATTATGTCATAATGTTCTATATTGAAGACCATGATCTACTATGCTTACTATATAATTCACAAGTCTTCTCACTACATGCTCAAACCACTTAAACCTAGATTGCATCATCTTTTTTACTATGTGTTACCCCTAACACTTTTCTCAAATATTTCATTTCTAATTTATCTCGTTTAGTCTTACCACAGTTAGTTTATTTTTGTGTTGGTTGTTTATAGCTCAACATTTTGTTTCTTACAACACTGTCGGTCATATAGTTGAGCTATAAAATTTTCCCTTCAGTTTGGGTGGTACTTTCGTATCACATAAAACACCTGAGGCCCTTCTCCATTTCAACCACACAACTTGAACTTGATGGTTTACGTCTTCTATTTCACCATCGTTTTGCGCTACAGACCAAGATATTTAAACCGCATAAGTTGTGGTATGATATGATCTCCAACTTTCACCTCTAAGTTAGAAACACTACTCCTTTTACTAAACCTATATTTCATATACTCCGTGTTACCTCTGCTCAAACGAAAGTCATACCCTTTCAAGACCCATCTCCAACCTCTCATTTAACAAGTCATATGTTAGAAAGATATAGAAGAGAGAAACTAAGAGAAAATTGTTCAATGTATTAATGTTTTCAATGCATTACAATATAAACAATGATGTCTATTTATATCAGAGTTAGTTAGATGCAAAGTCTAACTAACACTTTAACAGGCACTCACTGCAGCTAAGAACAGCTAAGATAACTAATTCTTAACATACTGCAATTGACAACAACTTGCAACAACTAGTTTGTCTGATACCACTCTAACATCCCCCTTAAAGTGGAGGGTGTCTTAACCAAAATGAGTTTGTCAAATACCCAAAGCTTGTCACGAAGAATGCAGAATATGACTGCAGAAAGTGGTTTAGTTAAGGCATTTTCCCACTGATCTTGAGCAGGAACATGTAAAACTATGAGATTCTTGCATGTACTTTCTCACAAAGAAGATGTCCAGTTTCATATGTTTTGTACGATTGTGTAGTGTAGAGTTGTGTGCTAGGGAAACAATACTTAGATTATCACACAGAATCTGAGGTGTGTTGAGCTTGCTGTCTACTTCTAACATGAGAGATTGAAATCAAAGTATATCTCTGCAGAGAGATTTGTCAAGCTTCTATACTCAGCTTCTGCACTGGAGTGAGCTACTAGTATTTGTTTCTTGGACCGCCATGAAACAATATTAGGGCTGAAGTAAATGCATGCCTCTGATGTAGATCTCCTATCATCAGGGTCTAATGTCCAGTCAGCATCACAAAACCCAATTAAGGACAGAGGTTGATGAAGAGGAGCAGCTTGCAATAGAAACCATGATGAATGGTGACTCCCAAGTATATGAGTATTCTTTTGACAGCCTTCCAATGTTCCTGAGGGATTGGACAAAAAGTGACATACTTTGTTTAGGGAGAGTGATATTTTTGACCTTGTTAAAGTAGCATACTGTAATTCCAACAATTGACCTGAACAATGAAGGATCCTCAACAGGAACAGATCTTATTTTAGATAATTTTAAGCTATATCCCATAGTGTAGGCATTCTCTTAACAGATTCCATATTGACTCTTGAAAGGAGGTTTCTAATATACTTAGATTGAGAGAGCAATACAGACCCATCAGACAGATGTGAGACCTTAATGCCTAGCAAATAATCAAGTGTTGTTTAGGGTTTAGGGAGAGTGATATTTTTGACCTTGTTAAAGTAGCATACTGCAATTCCAACAATTGACCTGAACAATGAAGGATCCTCAACAGGAACAGATCTTATTTTAGATAATTTTAAGCTATATCCCATAGTGTAGGCATATTCTCTTAACAGATTCCATATTGACTCTTGAAAGGAGGTTTCTAATATACTTAGATTGAGAGAGCAATACAGACCCATCAGACAGATGTGAGACCTTAATGCCTAGCAAATAATCAAGTATTCCAAGCTGTTTCAAGGCAAATGCAATTAAGAACAACAACTAGCTTGTCTGATACAACTCTAACATCATATAACAACTAAAACATTTTCCACCAACTAAAGTCGGTTACATATATCAAAAGGCGTCATTATTTATATCATGATCCATGGAAATCATACTGTAACATAAAGATTGGAAAATGATGCACACTGAATTCTGAACAAATTTCTATTAAAGCCATAATAATTACAGCTTTATCAGCTTTATCAGACACAAAACCAACTAGAGATATAATAAAAATGATGCAATTCAACCTATAAAACTTGTATACCAGACACAACACTATAATAAATTGGAAAGACAGAAGTATTTGGATGTAATCACTATAAGTATCTATGTTAGACACAAACACAATGTCAGATATTAGGACACACTTTTAGCATGAAGTATTGGTGCAACATAGAAATAGAATTCAACTCATCTGAGTACATCAAACTTTCCTCCTTCCACAAGAAAACCCTAAAACATAACTTTTTTTGTTCCAATGTAAGCACCAAATTAACAAAAAGAAAAAAAAGTATAAAATAGAAAGAAAGAAAAAAAGGAGTTACCATAAGCGCATTCAAATCCTGAAAAGCATCCTGCAAACTCTTATCAGTACTCTCCCACATTTCCTGCTCCTTCCTTAATATCCCCGACACTCCCACCATCTTCACCGTCCCATCACTTGAATAAATTCCACTCGACGACGTTGATGCTGCCCTGACCTCCGCATTAGAACTTGAACTCGTAGCACTCTCTGACTCCTCCCACGCTCTACCTCTCCAGTTTTCCCAAAACTTGGACACAAAAGCATCGCAGTCCCCTTTTCCCCTCACCACGACTGTCACAACCACGGATCTCGATCCTGATGCGGAAACTCCGCGCTCCGGCGATGGTGACACCTGGAAACGGACCCTTGGGGAGGCAAACACCGATTTGAGAGACTTCTTGTGGGGAAAAATGTGAGAGATTGAAGCAAGGGGGACAGCTACGGAGGAGGATGAGGCGGTGACGGCCGCGTCTGGGAGCCATAGGAGACGGTGCGTGGTTAGGATGAGGAGGCCAGATTTTAAGTGAGGGAACCATGTGTTAGGTTCGTCTTCGCTGAGAAGGTCTACGCCGGAGAGGAAGAAGCACTCGATCTCGTTCGGTAACAGAACTGGGCGGCCACTGTCGGTGAGTTTGACCGGCGGTAAGGAGTTTCCGGTCATCGTCGAAGACTGGAAGTTCGACGTCGTTTTGAAGGTTTTAGGATTAGTTGGAGTTAAACTGAAGTGACCTTGAAAGTCACGGCGCTCTTCGCATTACGGTCTACGGTTAATACTTTTTTAATAAACCTTCAATTTAGTTCTAAATTATCATTTTTTTAATGATTTAATTCTTAAATTATTAAAATCAACTTAAACAAATTTAAAAATATTATTTCATCTAATTATTTAGTCTCACAAAAAGATTAAATAGTTAACACTTTAAAATAAAATAGTTGATTTTTAAATTATTTCGAAAGAAAGTGAAGGTAGTGAAAAAAAATTTAATGATGATGTGAAGTGACGGGATTTGAAGATAATGATTATTATATGATATAAATTATGACTTGACAAGAGTGTTTTAAAAGAAACTCAAAATTCAATTCAAGAAGTCAAATACAATAAGTTTTTAATGTCTTAGTTAGAGTTGAAGAGTTTGAAGATGAAGATAGAGATAGAGATGCACTAAATAAAAACTACGAGGAAGAATGTAGTAAGTCTAAATATCGTAAATTCAAGTTTTATTACCATTGAATTCGTTATAAGTGTTGTTAAGGATTATGCCTTGTTTGCTAAGAAAAATGTGTTTTTGAAGGGAAAAAATGAGAAACATTGAATTGTTGTTAAGTGTATAAAAGGATGTACATTCAATATAAGAGTGAGTAAATCTAGTACCACGTTATTACGAAATTGTTAGTTTAAAAGTTAGTCATACATGTCATAAGACTGCTAGGAATATGCAAGCAAAAACTAAATTGTTGACAAAAAGACATTGTTAGTCTGTTGAGGCACTGTTTCCCTTGAAAAATGAAAAACAACCGCTGATCTTTCAAATCTAACTTTGATGACTCGCAGGGTCGATCAGATTGATCCTAGGACATGTACTAAAAGATTATGTTTTGAAATCTATCCAAGTTGCACACTTCGACAGTTTTGTGGTATAAGGTTTAAATAATAAGATTGTCTATTCGACTGAAAGGAAATAGACGATAGATTTTTAGATAAAAAGGGATAAAAGTCTTAGAAAAGGATTGAGGACGAAGATAAAGTAAAGTGTATAGAAAAAGAGAGAGGTTGCAAGAAAAGTAAAGGAAACTTTGTAAAGTTAAGCATAACGTACATTTCATTGAAAAGTAAAAATGGAGTGTTTACATAACGTACGTTCTCCTTGATACTTTTTTCTCTACACTCGGATACTTTGAGTAAACTTAGGAGTGACTTGCACAAATAGTAAATTATGACACACTGAATTCCATGTCTAAGACTCCTATTTATAATAGTAAAAATAACTAACAATAACTTCCTAAGGCCATCATCTTTTGACAAGTGTCACAACGCATGAAGTCCTTTATCCAACGAATGCCATTTGTCCCTCTTAGCCGCAAGAAAGTATAACTGCTCCCTCCATTATTTGAATTTCAAATACTCACTCTAGAATCCCCAACCAACATCTCGGTCGAAGGGCAACTTCTTTTAAAGTTCAAAATTTCTCTAAGCCCCTCATTATTTGGCTTCCCCCTTCGAAGATCCTAAGGCTCTCGAAAGACCCTTTTTACCCATGAAGGACTTTAATATTTTATTTAAATATTTTAATCCATGTGAGGTGTCGATTTTGTGAGCTAACAGGCACACGTCAAACATGAGACTTAGAGCATTGCATAATGAAGCTAAAATTAGGTGTGCAATGATGATCAGTAGACATCAGACATATAGAGCTAGTTGTAGACTTTTAATTGGGTTATATGGGTTTTTAAAAGGGAATGTGTGAAGGTCAACTATTAGCAGTTGTAGGTAAAGATGGTAATAATCAAACGTGTCTGATTGCTTTTGTTATTATTTAAGCTGAAACAAAGAATTCATGGGTTGGTTTGTACAATTACTTTTGAAAGACCTCAACAACATATAATATAAAATATGGGTTTTCATATCAGACCAACAAAAGGTAGTTGTTAATGATTTATCGTCCATTATGTTTAGTATTTTGGAAATGTTTAATATTTTAAATATTTTCATCAGAGATTGATTGAGATTTTAAAGGAAGTTTTACTGGTAAAAAAACAGGTTTGTGTGTTCCTCCTACAACGGCAATGGGGGTTCAGAGGCCTTAGTAGGTATATCACGATGTATGGTGGTTAGGACTTGCCCACAAGAGTGAGAAGCCATGTATGACGGTGTTTTACGGTAGTTTTTGAAATCCTACTCATGTGAGGTAAGAGGCTCTACTGATGGATGATATGCTTAGGTATTAGCTGGTGAGGGTGTGATCAGTGTGAGCTATGGTCAAGCATTATGCTTTTAAGGTGTAATGATATGTCGTTTCCTCCTCTGAGGGAGGTGTATTTATAGAGGCCTAAATTTTTCTTAGGAAGTGTCATTACCCACTTGTTGCGGTGAGAATAGAATATCAAATTATTAATTAATTTGAATCACATCTTTAGTTCACAACCGATCTTTGATTTATCCGAAGGAAAGGTTAAAGAAAGGAAAAACCTATTTTGCATCATAAATACAATGCGGGGAGAGATCTAGGTTTGGGGGTTGGTTAAGCTTAGGGAAGGTATTAGCACCCTAAACTTCTGTAGTACTCTACAGGAACCTCTTGTTTTAATGCTTATTGTTTTGCTTTAATTATTTGCTTAAGGGTATATGTTAAGGGTTAGAAGGTGAAAAGAACGACCTAAGGGTTAGTCCTAAGTTTACTCGCCAAGACTCGCATCTTGTGCCTACGTATCTAAGGTAGGGGATGGAATCATAGTAATTATAGTTCCCCTTGAAAGGGAGGAAGAGAAACTTCTTGACGGTGGTCAAGGTTTCAATGGGGGAATAAACGTTATTAAGGAAGCGCTTACGTGGAGTGCGGCGACTCCTATTTCTATGTTGAAATTGAATTGAAATTAAAAAGGTAAAATAGGTATTCCATGGCGGGAAACCTAAAACGGAGTGCGACGACTCCTTATCCTAATGTTAGGGTAAAGGGTAAACTTGTCCGCGACGGGACGCCTATGCAATTAGGGTTTTGGAAAATGAAAGGGTCAAAGGTAAAGACTATTGACACGACGGTCAAACGGCTAGACCTATTCTTCGGAGGGGAAATGTACGGCGAATAATGCAATGAAATAATTATCGAGCGATAGTATCGAAATATGAGAAAGCATGTAAGAATAATAACAGCACAAAAGCGACGACTGCCTCACATTAGTTACAAACTCCAAAAAAAATGAAATGCGAAAAGTGCGGGATTAGTAAATTGTACAACTGAGAAATATGACAAGAATAACATAAAAGTTAGATGAAAATAAAATGGCAAGGTTACGGAGGCAAATCCGCAATTATGCGACATTCTCATTCGAAACTGAAAGTAAGATACTAGACATTTTTCAAGAGAAAGGTTTAAGATGAATTGAAGAATTTACAAGAGGAATTTTAATTTTACAAATTAAATTTTTAAAGTTTGGGGAATTGAACCCATTTAGAAATTAGTATTTACAAAATGGATATTTTAATTAGAAAAAAATGTATAAATTAAATTTACAAATTAAGTTTAAAATTTTTAATTAAGTGCTAAAATTAAGTCTTAACTCTAAGGTTTTTTTTTTTTAAAAATGGGTTTAATTAAAATAATGGCTTTTCTTTAAAATTGGGTTTTAAAGATAAGTCTTAAAAAAATGGTTTTACTTTTTATGTTTTAAAAAATGGGTTTTAATGTTAAGTTTTGAAAACTGGTTTTAAGTTAAAGTTTTAAAAAAATTTAAATTTTAACAATAAGCTTTAATTAAGTTTTAATTATAAGTTTTTAAAAATGAGTTTTAGTTATAAAACTAAATTTGATTAATGTTATGTTAACAGAATTTTAATAAATAAATTAAACTAATAAAACTCTAAAATTAAAAAATTAAAAAATAAAAAAATATATAAAAGGGAGAAAGGGCAAAATGTTGCTGCTGAGTTGCATGTAGGGTTTTGAACCTACATTCCATCTTCTTCTTCGCGACGCATACTCCCTCTGGTTCTCGATGCTCCGCCCACTTTTCTTTCGTCTCTTTGCCATGTCCATCTTCCTCTTGCTTGCGAACCTGTAAAAAACAAAACGACATCTGTGAATAAGAGTTGTTCACTCTTTTACGAGTTTGAAGCGGATCTTTTGGTAGCTGGCAGTGGCTGAACGACGATGATGAAGTGGAGCTTCTGAGTCTCGCAGTGATGATGGTGGGAGATGCGCCGATGATGACAACCTGAGGTGTTTGGTTTGTCCGCGATTCTCCGATGGTGATGGTTTTGATTCTAGGTTGTTGCCTTTTGATAAACCCGCGGCTGAGATTTTGTTCGTTTGTTCGTGATGAACTCTACTGTTGTTCTTCGTTTGCGCTTCCTGTTGCTTTGCTGGGTTCTTCGAAAAAACTCTCCCCCCCCCCCCTTTGATGATGAACTTGTGATGTTCTTATACTATTCTTGTTTTGATATTTGGGCCTGGGTGTTTCACGTTTTTTACAATTTAATTTGTTTTGGCATGTGTCATACCCCAAATTTGTCCTACCATTGTACAACCTCCATTTTGTATATTTACCCACTTGTTTTATTCAAAAAAATCCAAAAAATATGTTATTATTTTCGCTTGAGGATATTAGGCCAGGTGTGTGTGGGGAGGTGCTAAGTGAAGTCCATTGCTTAGGAAGGAGTATGTTTCATAGTTTAAGTGGTGGGCTTAAAATTTTCAATCAAGGTTTTAACCAGAGCAATTCACGTTTCGAGCCATGTTATTTTAATCCCATTTCCAAATCCATTCATGTATTCACAATCCATTCTCATTTCTACTCATTATCCATTCTCGATTCCATGTTCATTCCATTCAAGTTCCAAAAACCCTTATTCACTTTTTATTCGTTTTTTATTATTTATTCATCCTTTCCAATTAATTTTCAAGGTCCAAAATTCCATAACAAAACATACATTCATTTTGTGTTGTA